GTATTTAGGCAAATTTTACTGTGCACTACAATAAGATTTCGCAGTAAAATTTATTGTAGTGCACAGTAAAATTTATCTAAATACTATATTGTCTCACAATTAACATGATTTTCAGGATAAATTTTAAAAGAAAATTCTCTCCGTGCACGATTGTCACAATTTAAAAACGAAGTAAATACGAAGGATGATCTCCTTCGAGGTCAGTTATTAATTATTTTCCATACGTGACGCAGTCATATCGTTTTAAACACCGTCTCCTTCCATATAATTTGCGTATAAATTGCGAATAAGTATATAGCACTTGTGAATATTCAGATTTGATCCGCCTATATGCGGCGGCCGTTACGCACGCCGCAAATCTCGCCGAGATAAGCCACGTGCATCTGTGTTAAGAATCGCGTAATATTTACGTTCGATCAGCCGCGCGCGCTTGATCTTGGAGCCGAAAAAGAAGAGGAGTCGCGATCAGAGACTTATAGCTGATACGAAGCGGTTATTTCGGATTTCTCAATTCTCGTGCGACGTCACGCGGGCCGATCAGGAGACGGCTCGTCGGAAGTTGGAGAGAAACGAACAGCCCGCGCGCGGGCGAGAGACGGAGAGAGAAATACGCGGCCGCGGAAAGGGTTATCAGATGATGATGTGCGCAAATGTTAGGGAGTCAGCCGGGGAGTTGGCGCGAGCCCGATGTAAACGTCAGCGGTATCCGATACGCAGCTTAAGCCGCTAGATAGGAAACAGCATCGCTTTGTTCGCCGTATCTCTCGTGCGCGGCCCGTAGAGAGAGATACCGATAGGGACGAGAAGAGGCTCTGACATCACGTGTTGGAACCGCTCGCGTTTCTACGCCGCGCGATCATTACGCGTCCGAGGCGCGGAAAGATCAAGGAGAAACGATGACCGGGCTTCTCCGGTCCAGGAATTCTTCTCTCTCAAAGACCAACACGAAAGCCCGAAATGCAAAAATAAATAAACAACCGTTCTTTCGAAAGATATAAAATGAAAAATTATCGCATCCCTGCGATAATTTTTTTACGAGATTGCGTGAACCACAGATTGCTGGCCGAGGCATCGAATAATTTTGACATATATTATGTAATGATATATGATACAAATTATTCGGCATCGTCATTCAACTTTTTGTGATCTAAGCGATTTCTTCGCAAATGAGCGAGGTCAAGTATTGCATTCTCAACTCCATCTTATAATCGGCTGATCTAACATGAATTAAAGAATTTTTTTCCCCTTGGAGGAATTTATGGAGATTCCATAGCGCGTCGGTTACAATTATCGCGTAGAATCGCTTGAATAATTGTGCTATTGCAACGCATTATGCCGGATAATTCGACGAAGGATTATTATCGCAAAGCATTATATCCATATTTCCTGATAATCACAATCTCGACATCGGAAGAATCAAAATAAATCCGAATCTACGAATTGAATTGATATTTACGCACGAAGTGCATAAAAGGAATATGTTAATAATCGGATGCAAAACATCAAATGAAAAACATCGAATGCAAATGAAAAAAAAAGTTCAATATATTTTTCAAGCAATATATTTTTCAACCAATTATGTAATCGAAACGTTGGCGTTGAATATTAAATCGAGCGATTTTAGATGATTATAAGTATGAATATGATTATGGATATTCTATATACTGCATATGTAACAAAAAATGATAATTCATGCGTTACGTGATGCGCACGAAATGACAAGAAGTGCTGGAAATGATCTTTTACATCTCTTAGAGAGGATATATCAAATGTCGCGCGTGTCGATAAGAATAAATGACAGGCGCATCTTTGAATACGAATAAAAATCGAGGGACTGAATCATACACGGAAAACGATGCATTCGACCTATGAATGCATTTACCGGTTGACGAGCCGGAACCGTTATTTATACCGGCAAATCGTATCGTGCTGGTCTTATAAACTTGCCATAGCTATAACTGGTCAAACCAGATATATCCGAGATCTATAGAGCTCTCATTACATTTATTATTATTTTAAATAAATTAAAATTCTTCTTCACTAAAGTAAAAAAAAGAGACTTATTTTTTTTTCATTTTCAGAGAAATATCCAATGAGCTAATGATCCAGGCCTAGCTATCAAGTATTAAAAAATTAAAAATCTTAATCAAACGTATATACATATACATAATCGGATCCTAAAATTCTAGCAATTTATAAATGGATAAATGGACATTATTATATTAGCTATATTAGCTATTCACCGATTTGACATTATGGAGGAAAAAAAATTTATTATTTCAGATAAAAAGAAATTAAATAACATATTAAACTGATATAAAAAAAACCGTCTCTTAAGTAATGCCTTAAGTTGCTAATACGGCTTTGTGATTGACATCTTATGACATCTTAAGACGGTCTTAAATACAAGAATCGACTGTGAATGATATATAATACTAATGATATAGTATAAAATGATGTAAAAGTCACGGAAAAGTTGTAACATTTCTATATATATATATTTATATATAGAGCTATGTTTCATCAGCTATATTTCTACTTCCGCAAGATTATAAAGTTATCTTTTATCAAACAATCCAAACGTGTGCATACTCGAATGCAAACGAATGCATCAAAGGGGATGCCGATAAATAATCTTTCTAATCTGAAGGATATCAAACAAATTATAGATGCGTCTACACAGCTCGATCGATCCGCGGCGAAGATTATTATTGGTACGTGCGATACAGAAATACACGTCTGGACTTTGTCATTGCGCGTGAACAATAACACTTGGTAATCGATTGTCATAATTAGCAGCAGGTAGTAACAGGTCGATAGACCTGCATGCACTGTCCTTTGGACTTTAAATCTTATTGTTAGTCCTTTGATAGATAAGTATCGCACGGACAAATGATATATGTAGCCCACGATTCGCGATCGATACGCGCGCATCATCGATATCTAAAAAAAAAAAAACGAAAATAAACGAGTCATAAGAAGCATTATTCCGTT